ATATAGTGGAATGAATATTAGGAGCAGGCTATGGCTTTTCACATAATATGACCGAGAGCGAGTTTGGCTTGGTGTATGGCTGGGCGAACACTTACATGATTGACCTTCATAAAAGGGGCAAGTATTTTAATGTCAATATTCTCAACAATGAGGCCCTCAAACTGGAATTTAATATCATCACCACTCAATGCGAATTTGGTCTCGCTCACAACTTTTAACTTGACATGCTGATTGAGAACTAGACTAGACGTTTTGCGGTGGCCAGTAGAATCATGTTGCCTGTGGCACCACTGTCGATGGTAAGGCGTGTAAATTGGTGGCCATAAAATGTATCAATGTATGGTGACTGGCGAACGTCCGCAATGTTGGAGTCACTGAACTCATCATCGCTTGGTTGGATGTACTGGGGAACCAAGTATATTATCAATCTGTTGGGCCTTGATCATGAACTTATGATCTTGATCTGGCAGGAAGTCACACTCACTGAGGAAATGAATGTCGAGACGATCAGCCTGCTTACTAAATGGGCAAGAGTGTTTTTTTGCATTCTCTGGGCCGATCATTTTGATATCTCACAGGGTTTGGTGTGCTGTGTCCCCTCTGAGGCCTTGAAGAAGCAGAGAGCATGACAGTGTTGTCCTAAAAGTGAGCAGTGTCCGCAGCTCAGTTCCATAGCGCTGTTTAACCAGTTTGGGGAGGTTACTATAAATTAGTTTTAAACAATTGAGTAGAATGTAGTAGTTAATCGACGGGAAAATGTCCTCATCATCAGTTATTGTTTCACAAATGCTGTTTAGCACTGTAAGAGATCTTCTGGGCGTTTATCTGGTTCAAGGTGTATATTACAAAAATTTAGCAGGTGTGCACCAGTGTAATGGAATCCAACTTTCATGTTGCCTGATATGGTAGGGCAGAAGTTTGCTATTTGTCCCAACATTAGTTCACGGGCACTGACTTTTTGCTGGGCAGTTTGCCTTCTGTCGATCTGGATGTTTTCTCCATCATCTGTGAAACCTATCAGTAATGTAGCATTGGTTCGCTTTGTTCCCTGTACGCCCTCACCGAGGAACAGGGCAAAATTTGAATCTAATGAGAATGTGCAGACCAGGTTCTGACGCCAGCTTTCAAACGAATTAATTTTGTCAAACACCACTGTTTGGGTGCGCGTTGTTGGTTGGACTTAATAATTAGTACTAATTAATGAAATCAATGTCCGTATCATCCATTCGATATATTGAGTGATTGGCTGTACACAATATGTGTGGAGGAAGTCGCTACATGTATAGCAGGCTTGTGTCCGTTTTACCTTTCAATGACGTGTAGTTTCGAGGGACCCTGCTACCACGCCAGTATGGACACAGACATGTTGTATACAGAGCTTGGACTACAACCAGACACTTCAGTTGGAGCGCTAACGAGCGAGTAACTCCGTTTATTTCTTAACGGGAAGACAGAACCAACATGGCGGTAAAAACAAGAGCGAGAGGGAAGAATACGATAGAATAATGAAAAGCGAACACGAGAGAGCGTTAACACGATTCGTAAATACAATAAACAAACATTGTGGCGCTGCAGTGGCGCATTGTCATTTCAAAACGTCGTCATTTCCATTCACGAGCATTGATAAAAAATCATCAAATTTAACATTATTAAAATGCGGTGTGACAAATAACAAATCAGCCCGCTAATGATATCTTTCGAACATAAAATGTCTAACTCGAAGACAAATATTGGTTTTAAATTAGTGCCAAGAAGAAGGGTAAAAAAGTTAATTTCAATCACCTCGAAAGTCAAACACGAAACATTTCTGGGTAAAGATATGAAAATTTGTTGCGATAATGTTTCGCTCCTGGTAAAATAGATAAATTGAATAACTACTCGCCGGCTAAAATATGACCTTATACAGATATCCTGGATAAAAAAATTATGTGAAAAGCTCGAATTCTGGAATGAACAACTAAGTTGTAAAAAAAAAAAAAACACATAGTACTGTCGATGTTAAAAGTAGTGACCGAGTCGGACTGTTTACTGATCACGTGGCAATGCTCTGCGCATACCCGCAACACGCCTTTGCCAGGGAAGGTGTCCAATTCACTCCTAGTAACTAGTATAAGCTTTTAAAAAATAGACAACTGCATAGTGGAAACATCACTAAGAAAAAAAAAATGGATCAACAGTGATCTCTCTACCATAAAAAAATATTGTCAATTAAACTATGTTCTAATCCATATGACAACGAAATGACTTCAAAATGTTATAACCTGACGAAAAATTATAAACATTTACTAGGAAAACATAAAAGGGAATTTAAAAAACATATTTTGAACAAACTAGATAACATGGGCAAATCTAACCCAAATGAGTATCTAACTAATAAATTAAAAAAACAGTGAAAATGTATAAATATTGAGAGCCAAGTTTGGTTTAAACACTTTCAAAACTTAAATTCACAAACATCAAAAAATATACTAATAACATAATCTTAAACAAAGTCAAGTTAACATCCCTCAAATGAATATTCTGGACAAATACATTTCACAGCTTGAAGTTCATAAAGCAATCAGCAAGATAAAAAATTGAAAAGCACCGGATATGGATAAAATTACAAACGAAATGATCATAGCGGGTAGAAGCTCACTCATTGTATGTCTACAAAAACTTTTTAACTTAATTTTATCTAGTGGCCACTACCTAAAAACTTGGGACATAGGGATTATCAGCCCATCTTTTAAAAGGGTGATCCAGCAGATCAAAGCATCCACAGAGGTATAATACTACTTAATACATTGAGTAAGCTTTTTACATCTGTGCTTAAGCAACGACTCAACAATGAAGAGTTAGAAAGAGTTACGTCTTACACTTATCTTGGGATAAACTTAATTATAACAGGCTAATTAGATGGAGCACAACTAGACCTGAAAAACAAGGCTTTAAGTATTGAAAATGAACCAAATACTTTTCTCGGAATCATGTATCCCATTGCGAATTCATCTAAATATGTTTGATGTAGTAATTAAACCAGTCCTTCTATACTGTGCAGAAATTTGGTCAGGTGACATTGTTAAACACATAAAGGATCTGTGCAACTCTGCAGCTCCAAAGGAAAAAACTCCACGCCAAATTATGCAAGATTTTGCTGAAAGTAAATAGCAGGGCTTCCAATCTAGCTTGTTTACTTGAGCTAGGGAGATATCTTTTCGCCATAGAAAGCACTAGGCAAATGATACAATATTGGATGAGGATATGCCAGAAAACACACTAATGACCGAAGCATATAAGCTTGGCTTGAAAATGTACAATTTAAGTCACAAAATTGGGTATCTAGTGTGATTAAAATATTAGATGTATTAAAGCTTAATATCTTAATAAAAGACATTCGTGAAAAACAATGTCGGAGAAGATGTAAAGAATTTACGCACAATTACAAAAAAACAAAAAAAACACAGCCCATAAAAATAAACTAAGAACGTACAGAAAATTAAAAACAAATTTTTCACTAGAAAAATACTTGCAAATAATAATAATAAAAAAAAAAACTGATAAATCGCTCTGCAATGACCAAACTGAGGATAAGTACCCATAGCTTACAGATTAAAATGGGAAGGTGCAATAATGGACCAATCTCTGATAAAAAATGTTTAGTTTGTGAAACACGTTTTGCTGTCATGTCAGTTATACGCTAAAGAAGGAGAAAATTTGTTCAAAAGACACAACATTATTTATGACAACAGAAACAATGAACAGTTATTCATTAATATGTTAAATAATATGTTAAATAATAATTTAAAGATGAAAACAGTTATAACTGTTTTAATGTACGAGAAATTTTTTTTCTATGTTTAGAAATTTTAGTGTCTTGCTTGATTTTTTATTATTATTATTGTTGTTGTTGTTGTTGTTGTTGTCGTTGTTGTTGTTGTTGTTGTTGTTAGTGTTAGTTATTTTTTTTTACATGTTTATCTAATTGTTTTACTTTATTGTACTTTTCATCAAAACCTCAAATATGAGGTACGATAGCAATAAAGATTCTAATCCGTTTCCAGACCGGGTATAGAGGCACTGTGTGTTGATGAATATTATCGAGGGTGGGTCATCATGTTTCCAGACTGGGTATAGAGGGACTGTGTGTTGATGAATATTATCGAGGGTGGGTCATCATGTTTCCAGACCGGGTATAGAGGGACTGTGTGTTGATGAATATTATCGAGGGTGGGTCATCATGTTTCCAGACCGGGTATAAAGGGACTGTGTGTTGATGAATATTATCGAGGGTGGGTCATCATGTTTCCAGACCGGGTATAGAGGGACTGTGTGTTGATGAATATTATCGAGGGTGGGTCATCATGTTTCCAGACCGGGTATAGAGGGGCTGTGTGTTGATGAATATTATCGAGGGTGGGTCATCATGTTTCCAGCTTAACAATGGGTAGGGTTATTTGCATTTGTTGTAATATACACATCTCGTCCATGAGTGGTTTAAAACGCTTCGTCCAAACTGTTGCATAAAAGAGGATCGGCAAGGGGTATTTTCGTAAGCTGTAATAAACTGTTTTTATTTCCGTAATAATGTAATTTAAATAATTAAAAAAACGTAAATTCGTAGGCATTGACAAGCTGTAAAATGTAATCGGCTATTTTATTCGCCCGTAATTGGTACAAAGATCTTATTTTTTGTAAGCGTAAAAAGCATTTTCAACATTAATTGTCATAATTCGTACGCAATTTCCAATATTGATTCTTAAAAACAAATTATCAAGAATATTATGAAAATGTAAAATGTAATTAAACATTTGCTTTATCTGTAAATGTGTGAATGGAACTTTCCCTTTTATTTCCTGTAAAAACGTAAAATGCATTTTTCATTTCCTGTAATCTGCACCAGCTACCCCCCTTGCCCCCCCCCCCCCATCATCAAATGTGTGTGCTTGTGTTTTTCTTTTTTTCTGAACTGCGTTAGGGGGCTTCGATGGGTCAAAACCTGAGTCAAAGGTCATATCAAGATGGCGGCTCCAATGAGAAAGTCGGTCGAATTTTTCTTCGATGTACTTTCCCCATATTCCTGGATAGGATTCGAGGTTCGTATGATCTCTTCATATAAATGTATTTATATAGTTTTTTTTTTTTTAATTATTAGCGTTTCATCAGCTCGTGATATGGTCACCCACGTACGTTAACACGTCGGACGTAACCTAACATTCGAGGGCTCACACCACTAATTAGATTTCCATAGATAATAATGTTAGCGTTTCGGTGAAATTCTTTAAAAAAAATTATAGAGATGAAAATATAGTTTTAAATCTGCTGAAACCACATGTATTTAACGGAATTCTGGAGAGTTGCTCAGATTCATAGGTCATCGGTACTTGTTCATAAACTAAGCTCAGTTGACTGAAGTACGCCCTCAGACATCGCATTTCAGGTAAAATATTGAGAACAAAATGCTGTGGCCCTGATTTAGTATAATATTTTAATAATGAATGTCCTACAATCAGTGGGTAGATCCACGTTAAAATTTATTACGTGGAACATCTATGGTAGTTTAGAACATAAAATTAGAGATAGTAGTTTTATAGATAACATCAGAGGTACATTACTTGGGGTTTGCAATGCGCTTCATTCAATTCTCATCTCGTAGATAGCGAGACTGATGCTATGACCTTCTGACATGACATAGGTAGTTTGTAATAAAACAATAAAACATGTATTACCACATTCATATTCGAATTTTTCTGAGTTGAAACGCTTATGCGAGAGCGAGATTGAAACGTGATCTTGGTACCGTGTCACCGTAGTTGCAAATCCCAAGTAATGTACTTCTGATAACATTAATACTTTTGAATTTATTAGTTTAGTAGAAACAAAAACTAACATTCATTCTAAATTAGATATCCCAAACTACCGCAACTTTCCCTCATTTAGATCAACAAAACATAAACATGCTCACTCACACTCTGGCGGCGTAGTATTATACTACACAAATATTTACAAACATGGTATAAAAGAAATGGAAGTAGTTGCTAGGATCTTATTTGGATATGACTTGATAAAAGGGTATTTGACTTAGATATAGGCAAATTGGTGGTCGTGGTGGTGGGCTGAGGGGGAGGGGTGGGGGGCTAAGATGTTATCGTAAGTACAGTGTTCTCACCAGATTCTGTTTTTGTGGGGCCATAAAGGCCAATCGTTTGAAAAAGCTGGGCCATAAATTATAAAATGGAGCCCAGGGTTAAATTGGTTTAGGGAAATGCGCATCTACCTGTCAAAGAATTTCCATGGTGTAACCATTATTGGGTAAATAAAATTGGGTCAAGGTGAAACTGCAGCCCTTATTGATATTTATAAATAATCATAAAGTCATCACACATATTAGGTTACCGGGTAACACGCATTTATTCCATAACAATAATACACACCAACTACAGTACATCAAATCTTCATCATCCCTGTATTTCAGCCATGGATGAGTTGTTAAATAACTTCGTTGAAATCGTTGATGTTCCTTGGCTTTATTATTAGCGACACTTTCCACAGTCACAGCTGCGCTACCAGACTTGATACCATCAGCATTTTGCGTGTCTGCTAGAACATTAGCATTTTCTAAAGGTACTGATTCTATCGACGGGGTTTTCAATCCATCGCTGATACTTTAAGCATTATGTACCGAACAAGGGTTCCGGCAAATTATCAAATTAAATAAAGTTCTCTGGCGTTTAGGCTTGCTCGTGGCGGTCATTCCATGATGCTTGGAATGGGTTGTGTATATTGCTAGACATTGCTCAATTGTGGGACCCCTCTTGGGAATAAATTATTATGTTGATATCGCCGCCATGCGTTAAATTTTTTTTTTCTGCGCCAAATGTGATTCAATTAAAATTTTGTGCCAAATTTTTAAAATATTGCGCAAATGGCGCAAGGGCACAGCCTGGTGAGAACACTGTAAGTAGTAGTATCTATTCATGTGTGTTTGATATAATTTTAGAGTAAACAAAC